TGGAAACTGTTTTCTATTTATTCCAAATTTTTATTGGAATAAATGCTCAAAAAAAATCATAAAATATAATTAAACAGCTTGGAAATCCATTTTTATATTTTTACCAGCTTAGTAATGTGTAATAACAGTAAAATAAAATGTTTGAGAATTTTTATCCTTTGAATGGTATTTTTCGTGAATTTATGTTGTTATGAAGGCTTAAAAAAATCTGGAAAATTAATATCTCAAAGTTGTATTAATCGCATAGCGTGTAGAATTTCATCATTTCAGAAAAAGTGTAACCAATTAATATAAAAACCGATATTAAAACATAAATTTTGGCATTTCTCTATATGTAGAGTTTAGTATATTAGCATTAGATTTCGACATGGAAACTCACTAGTGTGTGTTTGATGTCGTAGGATCCCGATATTAAGACGTTGGTGTATTCTGAGGCACCACTTGTATCTACTTGAAACATTGTGAGTATTCACGCACTCCCCTATTTTCAGTTTTTATGTTTTCGGGTGGAAAAGCATGTCCAGAAAAACTATTATTTGCATGTTGTATTTTAATTGAATTGTATCAAACACGATTGCTATTGTATTGCTATGTTTCTTTATGTATGTCTATGCAACACGGAACATGAGAACTTATCGTACTAAGGCCCTTCCCTTATCTCTAACCATTAACTCTTAGAGCCAATGGTCATTATGGATAGCGCTATTAGGAATTGACAATTCCTCACTCGCCCTATTGCTGGAGTGCATGATACCATATTCATCTATGGAACGATAAGCATAGATCTCGATAGGGCTTCAGTCATAGGTTTGGTTGAGACTCATTGTTTGCTCATACACATACAAACTCGTTTCTCGTTATAGCAATAAACTTGTATTCACTAATAGCAATCAACTTGGTTTATCATTAAAGCAATGTACTTGTAATTACGAAAAGCCTTATTTCAAGCTCGATTTTATATACTTGTGAACTCACCAACTATTTTCATAGTTGACGCTCGTTTTACATGCTTTTTCAGGAAATAATTAGTAAGTGGATGTAAAGATTTATCATCATAGAGCATGCTGCATCGTGTTGAAGCTATTATGAAGTTATATTTTGAACAATGTTGTTTTGGAAGAACTTGTACTTTGTTTCTTTTTAAGCTATGGGTTGTAAACTTTTAAATACTGCTATGGTGATGTATCTTTATCTTTTGCAATGAAACCGTTATCGCTGTCATATCTTGCGTTTCCGCTTTAGCGGGGTGTGACATGAGGAAATTCTAGTGGATCCTTATCAAATTCCTGAAGCTCAACAAGTAAAGAAGAAAGTTGAAGAGGTCACTTTGGGGGAAAATTTTGATACATAAAGTGACCCTCTTAACTTTAAGGATCCGCAATCTTATTTTGTTTCTACCGCAGTTGGAGTTGCTACCGCAATTGATGTGTGTCTACCGCAGCTAATGTTGAATAAGTTACTTTGAAAAGCGTAGTGATCCGCAATCACATCCGCAGTGAAGATTGATGAAGACTTTTGTTATCTGACTTAGTGTATTAGCGTTATTTTATCCAGTGAACCTTGCATGGTCACTTAAGTCAGTAGAATATTAGTTTTTTATTTCAGATTTAACTTTATGGAACTCTATAAATAGAGTCTCCATTCTTCATGTTTTAACACATCTGTTTTCACGATCTGTTGAACTTTCACTGAAATACAAAGATCATTCTCTCATTTCTCTATCTTATCTAATAACCGAGATCCTCTTCATCTTAAACTAATCACACTTACTAACTCGTGTTTGAATTCAAACCGTGTTAAGAATCAGTTTGATGTTTACTTGATATAACTTGTTGTCATTTACATTTTCCTTTACATTTCCGCAACTAACTATCTAACCTTTCTAATTTATTATTTTTGAGCTAACTTGAGCCTTTGAGATTAACTTATTCTGCAACTATTATTTTATACTAGCGTTTTCTCAAGTGTTAATCAAAAGTTTTTCTCTCAACACTTGGCACATACTATTGAGGTCCTAACAAATATTCCATTGCGCCAAGTGCTCTTGAAACCAGAGAAGTCAGGGAGACTAGCTAAATCATTTTCAAACCACAAACTAACATAAAAGCACAAGCACTAGCCGATTTCATTACTGAAATAGCAGGTCAGAGGGTGGTGTCGTCAATACATAGCCCATATGTCAATACTGCGAGCATAGAGGCCACACTAGAGAATCAATGAAAATTGTTTTCGGATGGGTCCTCCTGTACAGAAGAAGCGGGAGATGACTTGATATTAACAATTCCAATAGGAGAAGAGGTAACCTACGCGTTAAGATTCGATTTCTAGGCATCAAACCACGAATCGGAGTACGAAGTACTCATTTCCAAACTACAACTGGCCATCAAGACGGGGTGCAAATAAATACACGCTTCTATAGACTCAATGGTGGCCGATAACGTAACAAATGGCTTATACGAAATTTAGGGAAAAAAATCACACAATACGCATAAAAAGTAAAAGCGTTGACAAAGTAGTTTAACAGCTTCAGGTTGGAGCATATACCAAGGTAAAAAAAAACAAATGTGCGGATGCGCTAAGCAAACTCGCATCTTCAACTTTCCCCTGAAAGTGTTGGTAGAAATCGTACAAGAGAAAACAATAGTAGAGAAGTCTGTAATGCTAAAAAAACAGAGATAAATGACTAGAGGAAACCAACAATCGAATACCTGACAGAGGACAAGCTACCCCAAGAGCACAAAGAGGCTAGAAAAACTACGAGTCAAAGCACTATCTTTTGTAGTAGATAATGGAATATTGTACAAAAAAGGGTATTTAATACGTCATTTACATTGTGTAAACGGAAAAGAGACAGAATACCTCATTAGAGAGATCCATGAAGGAGTGGCCAGAGCACATGAGGGAGTACGAACCATAGTATGCAAAGATATCAAGGATTAGGTACTATTGGCCAACAATGTATCAAAAAACAGAGGGTGTAATCTATAGTTGTGAAAAATGCCAGAAAGACGCACCAATATCAAGAAAATCGACGACGCCAATGATTAATATTAGTAGTCCCTAGCCTTTCTTTCAATGGGAAATAGACATAGTCAGAGCATTCCCAGAGGCGCCAGGGAAGGTGAAATTCCTAGTAGTCACAATAGACTATTTCACCAAATGGGTCGAAGGAGAACCATTAGCTACTACAATAAGCCAAAACATGGTCAAATTCTTTTGGAAACAAATCATTTGTCTCTTCGGGATACCCCATACACTATTTTCAGATAATGGAGCACAGTTCACAAATAATCCTTTCCGGGAATGGTGCGAAGAACTCAGAATCAACCAAAGATTTACTTATGTGGCGTACCGAGAGGCGAACGAGAAAACCTAGGTCAACAACAAGATAATCGTGCATGGCTTGCAAACAAGACTAGAAGAAGCTAAAGGACGATGGCCCGATGAATTAAAAAGTGTGTTATGGGTATACCGAACAACAGCACGAGCGGCAACAAAGGAAATGCCCTATAGTTTCATTTATTGGTCAGCATCAGTACTATCATTAGAATTGATCATCCTAACAAAGAGAACATCAAACGTAGACAGAGACAATAATGATGGCGATTTAAGAGCCAACCTAGATCTCTACGTGGAAAGGAGAAAAGTAGTGGCAATACGACAAGAAAATTATAAGAAACAGACAATAGCATGAACATGGCATGTCAAAAACCAAAGGAAGTTCTAGGTTTGAAAACGCGAGGAGAAGCGTATTGGCTGAGACGAGAACGAAGGAAGTGAAAAAAGATATCGTTAGAACCTAAAAGTACCGTAAGGATGATAAAGTAAACCAAAGAAGGCCGAGTTGCTCTATGCAAAAAAAACAAACATAAGTTGCTCGCTTAGCCAAAGAGTACACTTATTCTATACAAAACATGTAGCTTAGCCCGCCGGTAACATCCATGCATATTTCGAGTATCATTAATCTGAGACAGGCTACCTTCTTAGCTAAAGAATACACTTATTCCTTACAAAACATGTAGCTCGGACCGCCGACTACATCCATGCATATATCGAGTATCATTACTCCGACACATGCTACCTGCTTAGCCAAAGAATACACTTATTCTTTACAAAACATGTAGCTCGGCCCGCCGACTACATCCATTCATATGTCGAGTATCATTACACTGACACAAGTTACCTGCCGACTACATCCATGCATATGTCGAGTATGATAGGCTACCTGCTTAGCCAAAGAATACACTTATTCTTTACAAAGACATGTAGCTCGAACCGCAGAATACATCTATACCTATGTCGAGTATCATCAATCCAACACAAGCTACCTACTTAAACAAAGAATACACTTATTCTTTACAAAACATGTAGCTCGGCCCGCCGACTATATCAATGCATATGTCGAGTATCATTGACACATGCTACCTACTTAGCCAAAGAATACACTTATTCTTTACGAAGCATGTACCGACTACATCCTTGCATATGTCGAGTATCATTACTCCGACACGGGCTACCTGCTTAGCTAAATAATACACTTATTATTTACAAAACAAGTAGCTCGGCCCGCCAACTACATCCATGCATATCTTGAGTATCATTACTCCGACACAGGCTACTTGCTCTGCCAAAAAAACACTTACTCCTTATAAACCAGTAGCATGCCTCGCAAATTACACCCACAAATATGAAGATTATCAATATTTCGACACAATCTATCTAGCCATCACAAAATATATTTATGGGGTACATAATCCAACCAGTTAACCATAAATTTTATAATCATCTAAGTCCATCACCAAAGTAACAATTTCCATCAACAACAACAATCGATGAGAACAGTCACGTAACACAATGACATTTCATTCAAACAAAATGTTTGTGTCTCAAAAAGATCAATCAAAGGACTGGAATCGGTTAGGAACACAAGCAATACACAAAGTTCATGCTTGCCTAAGAAAACAACAAGAGAGCATAATCGATCCATATAACTAGCACAATTAGGATTTAGAGACAATTTGGGCATGAAGTACGTCGTTCTCTTGAAGACAAGTTTCGTATTTAGCTTGGACAAGAGTCTTCTGATTTTCCAGCAAATCAACCTTGGACATAGCGTCCCGATGACGAGTCAATAGGTCAGCGTACATTTCCCCGACGTTCACCAACATCTCTTCACTTGCAAGCTTCATACCGTCGACGACCCGTAGATTCTCCTGAACAGATAAAAAATGATTTCGTAAGGTCAGTAACCCATCAAAAAACTTAAAATCCTACCCAAGCGCGGTAGAAATGATTTTTTCAGCACAAGCTATAAAACGGCATGCCTCGTCCAATTTATCCTCAAACAAAATTCAAGATGGGCACCCATTTACAGGAACCATGAAAATGACATTAGCCCAACAAAAATACCGTAACATAGCCTAAAATACAGGTGTAAGCGAATATAAAAATGACATACCCTCAAAAAAAGAGGGGCAAAGTGTTTTCATACCATCCGGTTTGGGAGCAGTATGACCCAAAGATAGAGGGGAGGCACCGTGAGGGCCTACCTGGGAGACTTCATGTAAAAATTGCTCAAACTGATCGGACATAAGAATTTGAAAACGCTTCCAATGAGGAGAGAAACTATTTGTCGGCACACCTCCTACTGAGCTAGAGGAACCACCGTGTGAAGAACCATTCACAAGACAATAAGTCTCCAGAAGTTGATCAACAGAAAAAGCATCCGCCCAATTGCGAAAGTCTAACAGGAGATTCATGAATCACAATCAATGGATCAACATCCCAGTCCAGAGAAATCTCACTAGCCAGATATGACGTTAACTGAAATGAGCATTTACTTCCATCTACAACAATAAATGAGCACAAGTGTTGCCAGATATGATGTCAATTGAAAGGAGCATTTACTTCCATATACATCAATAAATGAGCACAAAAAAACATCCGAAGGAAGAATTTATATCAGGATATTACAAAAGAAAAAGGAAAAAAAGAAACTATACTAAATCCAGTAAAAAGGTTTGACAAACCTACACGACACCCAGATAACACCGATAGTTGACATCAAACTTTCCAAAGGGGGCTCATATGACACAAGGCAAGTACAACTACTATCAAAAATAATATTTTTACATAGAAATGAAAAAACAAGGGCACGAACGAAAGCAGCTCATCAAACAAAGATACTGAATCATCACCAAGCAGGACATAATAGTGAACGAAAGTTAGACATAAGCTATTCACGTCTACCCAAAAAACCTGCTTTTCCATTTACCATTGGAGTGAGATATATTGGGAGACAGAGGAAAATGACGACTACTAAACGAATACCAATCACCATACTTCTTCAGACGCTAAAAGTAGCGAAACAAACTGATGTCAAGTGGTATTTCAATACCAACAAAAAAAACTTCGAAAGTAAGCAACTTCGACACTACGTTAGGGAAAAATTGAACGCGATGAACCTTATAAAAATGAACTTCCAAAAAGAAGCGAGCCGGGGGTAACCTTAAACCACAAACAAGATGCCTAAGATAAAACTCAATGTTACCAGGCGGGGCATCAAGAACAGTTGACGACAAAGACGGAACCTGGAAACCAAGTATGGGTGACAAGTGAAATTCGTGCGTGTACCGATCAAGCTAGCAATACTCCACTTCAGACACAACTGTCGACATGTCATCACCCATAGCAGTCGTTATATGAGGGTCAAAAGGAGGACATATGGAAAAGAAGTTTCTAAGTAAACCAGGCTTATCCGATAAATAACAAGAGCGACCAGTTAAAGCATTTATCAAGGTCAATCTAATCAAAGCAAAGGAAAAGACTTATGTTGACCCAAGCATTTAATGCACCCCATGTGACGGATGTTCCAGTACCCAAGGTGGAGAACGACAAAAGTATTTTGGAAATATTCTTTCACCCTTTAGACTGGGGCACTTAATGGTGTACCAGGTCCGTAGTCCGAGAAAATCCATTACCGGCCCGGTACTTACCAACTCAGTGATAAAAACAACACAATATGTGATGAACGAATCTAAATTCGAATAGATTCTACACAAGTATCAGAACCATATCCCAAGAAACATGAAAAAAAGATGGTACAGAACAATAAAATAACAAGGAAGGGACAAGAGACAACACTAAAAATTGCAAGGTAACATATGAGGGACCGGGCAGAACTATAAACCTTTCTAGCAACGAGCGACCTATAAATACCCCAAGGATACGTTGTCCAAGGGAGAGCAAGGTAAGGCTAAAAATAGTGTATATAGAAATAAGACAACACTAAAAATTGCAATCTAGCTTAGGCATCAGAGAGCTATGCTGGGGTCAAAACCTCGGTATGGTTATCTGACCTAACGCTTTGTCACACCCCCAAACCGGAACGGCGGAAAAGTTCGAGTGCGGAGTACGTCATGTACAGTATCACAACAATTGTATAATAATAATCAAAGCAACAACAACCATTATATTAATAATGTAAAGTTTACATTGTATTCAATTCACATATGATTGACTCCAAAAGTAAATAGCAAAACAAAGACTTCAAGCTACTATGCTCCTTCTTCTCGAAACATGTGCGTGTACCTGTCTACTAGTTTCCTGAGAATACAAGTGATTTTGAAAGTGTATCAACATTTAAGTTTGTGAGCTCATAAGTATTTTTATATGAAAGAGTATATTCCTTGTCCCTTTTAAAACGTTAGTGTGATCCATCAGAAAATCCAATATTTTCTTCATAAATGAAATGTAAGTAACTTGACCCTACAAGTTCTTTATATGAGAACTTAGTGATTACAAGTTATATATAATCAAGAACGAATGGACGGTAGAATGTGTGGATCTGCCCTAAGCCCACAACCAAATAAGGAATAGGAAATGACGCAGAAATCACACATTCCACAATCTATCATGTCTTCAGTATATATGACTCCAACGTATTCACTAAGTAATCACAAAATAATCAAATAGTCTTTTACTGAAATGTAGTTTGTACTGTACTGGTTATATAATGCATTGTAATTGTGTTTGATTGTAATCCATTTGTATGTATATGCCTGGATAAATGTTCCTCCATAAATGTAAGTTTCTACGTTTAGAAAATAGTATGATGTACTTGTATGTATTTTGTAGTTTTACTATTGAATAAAACTATGTAAAGTTATTTATGTATTCGTACACTAATCGTATTGTTAATACCAAATTGTGAGTTATTATAACCATGCTAATGACTAGGATGTCATGATACGATGTTCTTCAGGTGTCGATATGTTATGACATTTGTCACCCCAGAATTTATATTCCAACTGTAGCTAACAGTCAGGGCGCGGGATTTTCAGTCCTGTATAGATCTATACACAAACTCACGCTCTCCCTCCAGAGACTCTGGTTATAAATTCAGGACTTTCGTTGGCACTTAGTTAAGTACTTTAAGGTAATACTCACAAAGTTGTATTGTCGATTACGTGTAGAATAAGGAAAAGCCATTTAGCAATGATAAACTGTATAAATTATCCTTTTTATAGTTGAAAACCATATTATGTATGTTCCATAAACTACTCCTATCATAGTTTATATGTTCTTTTTAGTATTGTTACCCAACTTAGTAAAACAGTAAGCAAGTTCCCTAAACTATACCTATTATAGCTTCTTTGTATGTTCGGTCTGTAATAAAAAACCATTGTAATTTAACAATCTGTATAAACAGTAATAACATATTTAAGAAAGATAACCTTCTGCTCATCGTAATACAGAAGGGTTAAAGATTTATTTTAAATTCATTTTATACTGATATACATATCGAGCATATATAACTTAGATTTAAAAAGTAGTCGGATAAGTGGTTTTTCTTTAAGCCCACAACCAGACAAGGAACAAGAGTTAAAGCGGAAACACTAGTCCTAAGCCTGTTAACTCTCAATTATAGATAAATAGGTATATGAATATATATTTTGGTGAAAACAAGAGCTTAAATAATTAAAGCAGTTTGAAATAGTTTTAAAAATAGTTTGAAACAGTTTGAAATCATTTGGATGATAACACAAGATTTCTTGTGTTTTACTTTGATCCCCCCCCCCCCCTAAAACATTGAAAGATGGTAAAAACGTAGGGGGTATGAACTCACCTCAAGTGTGTGTGCCTGTTTGGGTAACGAAGTGCTAGCGTATGATCCAAAAGTTAGAATACGTAAAAGTAGTCGTATCCTACTAATATTTATACACGATATCGTATTTAAATTAATAACCTATTATGTTAAAGTGTTAGACAACACTAAATTACATAAGAATATGCTTACAGAAATTTCTTAGAATAGATGAAAGTGTTCTTGGTTTCTTGGTGTTCTTGGTCTTTTTGAGGAGATCTTTAGTGTGTTCGGTTGAGGATTTGAAAATGGTAAGGTGATTCACGCAAATCTTGAAGAATATATAACGATTTCGGCAAGATCTTCAAAAGCTTCGTTTGATACTTGAAGAAAAAGAAGGATGAACTCGATGATAGTTGAGATAGAATGGGAAAGTTTTCGGCCAAAAGATGGAGAAGTGATTGTTGATTTCTGCCTACCAAATATATATAGCCATGAGTTTTCGCCCGAGAACACTATCCGAGGAGATAAGACAGAGCCTATTTGCGGTCCGAAGGCGTTTACGGTCCGAAGAGGTTTGCGGCCGAAAAGGGTTTTCGGTGCACTGAGTTTGGTCGATTGCGAGGATTTGCTGCCTTGACCAAAAACTCATTTTCGGTCTGAGGCAAGTGGTTTGCGAAACTTCTCGGGTTTCAAATAAAGGGCATGTTTTGATTTCCTTAACAATTATACATAATTATTTGATTATAAAAATGATAAAATCCAATGGTCTCTAATATTTTGACCTTGCTTGACCTTTATTGACTTTTGTTGACTCGAAATAACGGGTTGTCACATCATCCCCCTGTTAGAGGGAATTTCGTCCCGGAATTAGAATTCTGAGTGGAACTTCAAGGGTTGGTAAAAGACGGCGTACTTCTTTTCCTATTGAGCTGCTCTTTCTCTTGTGAATACAGGTCTTCGCTTGGTGTCCTAGCGGATCTTCACTGTTGCGTCTGCTGTTTCAATCGGTAAGGAGTGTGTGGGTTTGGTTTACTTGATTATCGTCCCCCGAATGGTGGCATGTCCACTTGTAGTCCTGGTTACCCTTGTCCTGAAGTTCATGGTAAGACTCATACCTGGTTCATCTATCACCACCTCGTGTATACAAGTCGTATATAATTAAGATTAATAAGACGGTTGGATGGGTGACTCTGCCCCAATTCCACAACGAAACGAGGAACAAGAGGTAAGGCGGAATTATACATCCTAAGTCCGTAGAATCTTAATTATTTACCACCCTCGCGCATGCACTTAGTAGTGATAGGTTAGCTGTATGGGTCCCTAGTTTCTATACTTGAACTTGACTTTCTATACGAGTGGTATTCTTGAGAGGTCAGTTGGGGATTCTTCAAGAAGGGTACTGAAGGTACGATACTCTTCGCTTGGGCACTTCAGAGTTTTGAAATGAGATACGATTCTGAGTTCTGTGTTGGGTTTGTCGTTATTAGTGACAAGGGTTTTGTTAGTCGGTCGGTTAGTACGAAGGGTTTTCGTAGCACATGAAATTGGTATGGTGAGGACCATGCCAATTCATGTCGAATGACGATGTCGGAACTCCTTATAGAAACAAGTGTTAAGTCGATTCGAAAGAAATGTTTGTCAGTGCGATAGTGTATTCGGTGTGTACTTTCT